AGCTCAGCCTACGACAAAGGAGAGCTGAAACGCGCAACGGTGGCAATGGAGAAAGCGCAGGGGACAGCCACGGTCCTGGATTGCAGGATTTACAGAAAGAGGAATAGGAGACTCAGTTTTAACTCTGAGGTCCAAGATTTTTCATCTTTTGTGATCATAGAATATATTTAGCTCTGGTATGTCGCTTGCTCCCATCTGTGGGGAACAAGTGCTTCATCTAAGTCATATTTAGAAGTGACCTGGTGTCCTTGCTACTAAATTATCAACACAACAACTGTCTAGTTCCCTTGCTGGTGTCCCCAGCTTGGAGGCGAGCTAGTCAGAACTGCATTTATCATTCGAATTACTCGGGATGTGTTTAATAGTACAAAGTTATGGACCAGCATATTCCAGCAGCTATGCAAAAAAAAGAAGATGAGATCAAGTATAAGCAGGACTGCTCCAAAAACTCAGACACGTGCACAAATCTGCCACACTGGGATTAAAGTGGCACCAGCCCAAAATAGGAGAATTTTGCATCTGCTGCTCCCCAGCTCTCTGCCACGAGGGGAAAGAACACGGGAGTCTACTGCTAAAGTAGCTGCTCTCACACTGGCGAGGATAAAGAGCAAAGCCACCGAAGGCAACGGAATCACACCCAGAAAGAACAGCATGACTGAAGTCACGTGTTAAAAAGACAAAGTTACAGTCCGCTCAGGCTCGTCCCCCATCACATACCGGCCGGCCCCCAACTTCACTGGAATGGCACATAGCATCTTTCATCAAGAGTCTGTCCCTTGCAAAAGGTCCAGTCCTGCCCCGCGCTCAGCACACCATTTATATAGCCATTATAAAGTCGGTGCATCTGACCGTGCTCTCGTTTTGCACGGTCCTGCGGATCTATACAAGATACAGGACATCAGTTAATTACGCCCAAGACAATGGTATCAAGCCCTTGGGTCCGATTCCAGCGTTTGCCGCCTTAAAAGAAACGTCCAAGAAAAAGTGCAGAGCCACAAGATCTACTCCTAACTACGTATCCTTAAAAAAGGAGCTCTTTCTGATGGGCAAGCGTTTGGTTGGAACAACACTAACCATGCCTGAGAATGAGCAGCTGAAGCCATTTGGAAAACGGATTTTAATGTTTCTTTGAAAATTCCCCCAATCACTCCAGCCTCCCCCCC